CCGGGATAGTCTGGACGCGCGGGTGTCGACATCAAAGGTATTTGTCGACCACCCCAGGTAAACCTCATCCCAGGAGGCATACCTGGGTGGTCGACAAGTATCTTTGATGTCGACACCCGCGTGTCCAGACTATCGTGCTGAGCCAACAAACAGCTGATCAGCTGTTTGTCAGCTCAGCGCGGCAGCCATGTAAATTTAAATGAAGCGGCGATTATTTAAATCGCCCCTTCATTTTCCTATGTCTGGTAGACTAATCTACATGCCTCTGGCGACAGAGGCATGTAGTCTAGACGTACCCTAAGTAGGGGCTGGCACAGGTGATGTTCTGGTGCCTCCCTCATCTGTTGTCCACCACTACGAAACAGTGACTCTGGCTCCCTCCATCCATATTGGATACTGCTACAATGGAGCACCCACAGAGACAACACTCGAAGAAGAAAAGGGGTTACTCACTTTGTGTAGTAATGACTATTCTTCACCATATGGCCCCCCCCGTAGGTGCTCCACGACCCTCCATTCCTCCCTCTCCTCTGCTCAGAGTCTTATTACTTGGGTGTAGATGAGGAACTGAAAGGGTGGGCTTGAGCCACGTGAGCTACATGCTCGGGCGGGAGCTGCATGAGACGTTTCCTGCACATGCTCAGCTCAACAGGGGAAACTGCTTTGCAATGCTCTGATCTGCAGCTCCGGGTGACACAGTGGAGCACTCCCAGGGACACACATCTCAAAGAACAGTTGTTACTGCACAAAGTGAGGTACTCCCTTTTACTCATCTTTCAAAACTGTTCTTCGAGATGTGCTGTTCATGTCTATTCCAATACTCATACTTCTTCCCTTCTGTTGGGAGCAGCTGGCAAGAATGAACTGAGGAGCGGGTGGGTTGGCAGGGCCTGATATTGGGCACCATATTGTCACCATTCCATGGGACACCCAGGCCAACCCTTTGGGTAGTTGCTAGAGGAAAAATCTTCTGGCTACTGTGCACATGCGTGTGCACACACCTGAATGGAATGGACATAAACAACTGTTAGAAAAGGTGAGTAACCATTTTTCCTATGTGGTCATGAATTAAAGTCTCTTGAAATTGTAAAGTATGTATGTAAAAGAAAGTTGGGTTAGGAATTCTGGAAGACTGTCATCTTAATTTATTGACACTTGTGCAAATTATCTTTATAATATCCCTTAAAAGACAATTAAATGTGAAATATAGTAAAAGAAAACTAATGGTAGCTGTGTAATTGGAACTGAAAGATGAAGTTTCATAGAAGATAAAATAATAGCTGCAGTCAAGTGCACAGAAGATACTGAGGTTTTTCAGAATAATTTTTCTTTTAGGAGTCTGTTCAAGATCAGCTAGACCTAGTCTTAGTTGTGGCTTCTGATAAGATCTCAGCTTACGGTAATATGGCAGCAAGCAGTTTGTTTTTTTTTTTAACTTTTGAAGTCATTAAGTAAGGTAACAGGATAATGAATCATGCCTAGGCCTTTAATACAGTGTTGTTGAGCATTAGCATTTTGCTTTGTTAAGGCATCAGGTATATAAAATCATACTGTATATTTTTGTACAGTTGATAATACTCCACAGAAATAATAGAGAATGTCTTTACATGGTACAGTATCATTTGTTATGCAGCAAAAAACTGATTACATGAGGAGGATGTAGGCCTGGAATACACCGACAGGAAAAGTACTAAATTCTATTCAGTTTTTAAAAAGGTTGAAATTAAATGACTCAAGGTAAAACAGTCAATTAGTATGTTGATTTTTAGTTTAAGAATATCACAGCAGAGATGTGCTAAACTGATTACATACATTTTACTGCAGAAATTTCTTCTTGATAACTTATAGTAAATTGTAACATTTTCACTATTTTTGCCTTTTCATGGATACAGCATCACTTTTTCTTTCAAGAACATGTGATATATTACACTTTGTGATTTTTTTTTTGTTTGCTGGTTGAAGGGTGGGGCTTAATCTGCAAAATAAGCATCTCTTTTCATGTGTTCCATTTAAAAAGTGAATCATAGTTTCCATTGAGAATAAATGAATAGTTGTTAAATGAATACAAATATGCACAAAATGTATTGTTGTATGAGAATTTGAGCTTTCAGATGACTGACTAGTGGCCTATTGAAGTATATTGATTAAATTTCTCATTCAAATTCTTATGTATATTTCATTTAATTCTTTATTTTCTTAAGGAATGTGACATTCCACTACAAGAGGAGCAGCTTGAGTTACTTTGGAGGGGTTTGTTCCATGACCAGAGGAGTTGGAGTGAATGAGGTAACTTTTTCAATTACTATTTTTTAAATGTACAATTTCCTGTTTATGAACTCACCAACTTTTATATTTGGCATCTTTGTTTTATTCTATGACAATAGCGCCAAAAATGTAACAATACTGTAGACAATTCATTGTATTGACATGGCATTACCCAAAACCTTGCCCTCTATATATTGGGCCAAATTCTTCTCTTAGTCTAGGTCTACACTGTAAAGAAAAGCTGGAAAAAGATACGCAAAAGAACCGCTTTTCTTTTGAAAGATGCTTTTCCAAAATTTGTTCCATCTACACAGTGCCAAATTTCAGAAAAACCTCCTCTTTCAGCAAATCCCTTCTTCCTCATAGAATGAGGATTACAGGGATGGCGAAAGAACGCATCTGCTTTTTCGGAAATTGTTCCAAAAAAGTGGATGCATTCCTTGGACATGGCATAGCTTTTCCGGGATGTCTCCGGTATCCTGGAAAAGCTCTGCAGTCTAGACAGCCTTAGGTACGTCTAGACTACGTGCCTCTGTCGCCAGCTGTTTGTCGGCTCAGTGCAGCAGCCATGTAAATTTAAATGAAGCGGCGATTATTTAAATCGCCCCTTCATTTTCCTATGTCTGGTAGCCTAATCTACATGCCTCTGGCGACAGAGGCATGTAGTCTAGACGTACCCTAAGTTAGCCAGTGGAATTCCATTGACTATAGTGTGTTTTCACCAGCATAACTAGGAGGAGAATTTGGTCCTATATGTATATCATGCTAATGACTTTGTTTTCAAAAATTTCACTGTGAAAAGTACCAAATGGACCAATTGACTTCTTGGTAAAGGCAGGTACCAGCTCCTCTGGCCTTTGTTTCTTTGGTGTATGCATGCAAGTTACATACAGATTTGATAAAATTGACTATATATGTGGTATTGAATTAGTAGTAACCCAGAATAAAGTGTTGTAATATAATTTGCAGTAACTAACTTGGTGTACTATTTTTTAATGTTATCTTCTCCTCTAAAAACAGTATGCCCTTCCATTGGCTATGGCACAAGAATTATCACAAAGTTTGGCTCAGAACCTTGGAATACAGTGGGAGCCAGCAACCAGAAAACCAAGTATGTACTGTAATTGTGCATTGACTTTCTTCTGTCCTCCTTTGCTGTACGTACACAGTTTTTGTAATCTGTGTGGTTACATATATATGTACATTGACATAACTATAAATAACATATTGCAAATGATTTTGTTATATGCTGGAGAATTACAGTAAAAACCCAAACTTGAGTTTAGCCAAATAGATGCCAAATAAATCATAATCTGATTTTGCACGCAGTCTACAATCGTCATTCTCAGTGACTTGAATGACAGTATTGTCTCCATCAAGGAGTCAAATTCATAATTGATGTGTACAGTGGTGTGTCTTAGAACCTGTTATTCTAACTTAGATGCCTTCCCCTCTTATATTCAGATTCCCTTACCTAAACATTAAGTAGAATAGATGTAATTAAGTCACATGGAATTTGTGGGCAAAGGAGTCTACCTTAAATTCCAAGAAGCTGCAAAATATTGGATTATGTTAATTTATTTTAAATCTTTTTTACACCTGCTCCACAGCGGATATATTATCCTAATTTGCACAATATAGCACATGAGTAGAGTGTATGTAAGTACTTTTAGGGGAGTCTAAGAGTCTAATCCAAAGCCCATTGAAGTCAGTTGGATCTTTTCTTTTCACTTTAGTGGGTTTTGGATTTGTCCCTGATTATCTAACGTTCATCACTTTATGTATCTCTTCTCAATTTGACCAGGGAGTCTGAGATGAAGCCCCAATGTTAAGTAACTCACACATGCTTGTCCATCTTTCATCCATAGCAGTATTATGTGATCATGTTTAACTAGCAGTTACCATACCATGTATATGAGATACAGCATTATTTTGTTTGATTTAGAATAGGAAAAAACTGCTATTTCCAATATGGTTGTGATATAACTATTGATATATGTTGTGTGTTGGAAATGTCCTTCAGAAAGCAGCAGAATCTAATCAGAAATACCTTTCTTCACTTTGTTGGGGTGGGTTAGTAATAATCTTTTAAAAGGAAATATCAAGCAATTATATTCTTGTTTTAAGCATGTCTTTCAGAGAGTAGGCAAGTAAATTGAGTATAAACATTTTTGAAAATGGTAGTAGAAATGCAAGCATTAGTAGTATTAACCAGCAGATAGATGCAATAGCAGAATGATGGAAAAGTGTAAAGGTGTGAATAACATAACAATCCTACCAAATTACATGTGGTTATTTTGTGTTCTGAATACTGAATGTATCCAAAATACAGCATCTCTTTTTAACAGATTCTTGTCTGTATTATTCAATGTTTGTCTTACAGATTGTAAGACATTTTTACTTTGAATAACCTATTGCTCCTATGTTTTAAATTAACAAATGATTAATGTGTTGACTTAGATGATGTAACTAGTACAACTAGGGATGTAAAGGAGTAACCAGTTAACCAGCACCGGGCCAACTGGAGCAGCCCCTTGCCCATGGTGCACTGGGAGTGGAGGCTGCTCCAGCCTGGCTAGGCCCACTGCGCCCCACCACAAGCAGGTTAACCAGTTAAACATATAGTTTAACTGGTTATGATATAAAATGGGATTTTACATCCCTAGTACAAATCCCTTTTATTCAACCACTTTCTGTCCTCTGTGCAATTGAGATAAGTTAATTGATAGTTTGAGATGTTGTTAAAGCAGAGGGAACAAAATTTAGCTGTCTTACGCACCAGGACATTCCAGTTTTAGGGTTAGATTCTGTTACAATTAACAGCCATCTGACCACCATATGTAACTAATTTAAATCTTCTTTCTTTTGATTTTGTCTGAGAAGAATGTGACTGCACAGAATACTGGGGTGGCTGCATCATGGAAGAAACAGGGTATGCTGTAATAACTTATAACTGAGGGCTTTGGAGATGACATCAGAGTGCACATTGTGACATAAGTATTTATTAGTCATTATAAATCTGTTTCAGCACTGGTAAGATGAAAAGCCAGTACTTTAGCTGTGAAGACAAACATTTGTGCTGAATAAATCAAGCATAAAAATATTAAGGAACATAACATGGACTCATTACATGGATGTTTTGATATTAGCTTATATTTTTAGAGTGGGACTTTTAGCCCAGAGTTTCCCTGCTCAGTATCCCTATAAGAGAAGAGATACAAAATCTTTAGCTACCAGAAAAGACAGATATTCTGTCTAGTATGACAAAATGGAAGGGAACAAGGAGTAATTTGCAAAACCACATTTCACAGCTGAGATACTTTTACCCACATTTTCTGAAGAGGAAAAAATTTAAGAGAATTTGTACTGACTGTTTTGATATGTCCAATTTGTATTCTTAGTTTTCCAGACAATAATTAAAATTACCTTTATATATCTCTTTCATAACAAAAGGATGCCAACATGTATGTAAACATTTTAAACTGTATGTGCTGGATATAGAAACCAAAGAACCCGCTACTGAAGTGCAGTCACTTTTGTGATGGAACAAAATAAACATCATAGAATCATGGAATTCTAGAACTGGAAAGGACCTGGAAAGGTCATCAAGTCAAGTCATGAAGTTTAGTCCCCCCTGTCCTCACCACGGGACCAAGCACTATCTCATTCCTGATAGATGTTTATCTAACCTTCTCTTAAATATCTCCAATATCTTCCACAGCCCCCCTACACAATTTATTCCAGTGTTTAATCACCCTGACAGCTAGGAAGGTTTTCCTAATGTCCAACCTAAACCTCCCTTGCTGCAATTTAAGCCCATTGCTTCTTGTCTGATCATCAGAAGTCAAGGAGAATAATTTTTCTCCCTCCTCCTTGTAACACTCGTTTAGGTATTTGAAAACTGTTGTCATGTCCCTGAATACTGTTATCATATAAATATTTAACAGAACACAATAGTAATACACAATAGTTTAGGATAACTAGCAAGAAAAAAACTTTTCCAATTGAAGCTGTGGGGGGAAATGTAGGTAAGCAAAACATATAATTCAAACTGGAGTTTTGCCATGAAACTGTTGCTAATATCTATTCTACAATATGTTTTGTCTATTTAAATGCCAGGGGGCTAGAGCCAATCAGCCCTGTTCACTAATCAGATGCAGCTGAAAGTGTAATAGGCATTCCCTATAAAGAGTTGCAGGAAGCTGAGGGTTGGTTGAGAAAATGGCTAATTGAAGAGTGAGAAGCTGCAGTCCCCTGCACTAATTCCCACAGGGAAGGGAGACTCCAGATGTAGATGTGAAGTCCTGGGAGTTGTGGCTATTTTAAATAGAGGGGCAGGAGTTTCTACTCCCATTACTTTCTCACCACCAAGAAGTCAGGTGGAGACCTAATCTGGACTTTCACAGATTAAACCATCAACTACCAGCACTTCAAGATGGTGACCTTTGCCACAGTTATCCCTGCCTTGGTCAAAGGAGTTTTCCTGTCTACCCTTGACCTCCAGGACCCTTACTTTCTTATATCAATACACCCTTCACACAGGAAATTCCTACGCTTCACAATATGAGACAGACACTTCCAGTACAGATTGTTACCATTCGGACTCTCAACAACGCCAAGAGTGTTCTCAAAGGTGCTGGCGGTAGTGGCTGCACATCTACACAAGATGCACATCACCATTTTTCCCTACTTAGACAACTGTCTAGTGACAGGCCCTTCACAACAGCTCACATCGCAGGCAAATTAACAAGAACCCTCTTCGAAACATTCGGCCTCCAAATAAACATAGCAAAGTGCACAGTCACTCCAACTCAGACACGAGTTTATCGGGGCATACCTAGTTTGCACACAAGCCAGGGCCGGCCTCACTACTGACCCGCAGGTGGGCTACACTGAGGGACCTTATAACAACAGCCCAAAATAACCCAGTGACATCAGCACGTCTCTGCCTTCAAATCATGGGTCACGTGGCAGTGGCCACTTTCATAGTACCCCACGTTTGCTATGCATGAGGCCACTACAAGCGTGGCTGCATTCAACCTACCGCCTGTGAATCCTCTCTATGACTAAGCAACTCCCCTTACCTACCAGAATAAAATCTTCTCTCACATGGTGGACCCAGCAGGGCAATGTATGTGTAGGCATCCTTTTACAATGCAGTCCCCTATCAGCCACAATTACTACAGCCACATCGCTTCTAGGCTGGGGAGCACACCTTGGCCACAGAGTAGTCCAGGGCCAATGGCCTCAGGATGAGTCCAGGTAACACATCAGCCTACTAGAACTAAGGGCAATATGAAAGGCATGCTTACATTTTCTCCCCCGATGCACAACAGAACAGTCCAAATTCTCACGGACTTACCACAATGTATCACATCAACAGATAAGGAGGAGCATGCTCCTACCAGCTATGCTGAGAAGCGGTCCTACTGTGGGAATGGTGCATCATGCACGACATACACCTAATTGCCACTTAGCTCCCGGGCAAGGACAACATACTTGCTGACACACTGAGCAGACAATTTCCACAGAATCACGAATGGGAACTAAACCGATCAATTTTGATTTCCACCAGTACACTCCTTACTTACACAGTGCAGGGGTCAGATAACACATCTGACAGTCCACATGCTACACCTTCAGGTGTGGATGCTTGTTAGCTAAACAATATGGAAAGGTCCTTTCCAGAGTCCGTACAGCTAATTTTGGCAAATTCCAGGAGATCTGCAACATAAGGACCCAATTCCAGCATGGGACTTGAACCTCATGCTAAAAGTTCTTATGGTCAAGCCATTCAAGTCCCTAGCCAAGTGTTCATTGTTACATCTATCCATGGCCTTCCTTGTTGCAATTATCTCTGCTAGATGTGTTGGGGAAATAGCAGCCTCCCATACACAATATTCCACAAGGACAAAAGTGGTACTGCAGACCCATCCAAAATTCCTCCCCAAAGTACTTACCTCATTCTTCTGCAATGAACCCACATACTTACCCGTCGTCTTCCCAAAGCTACATAAAGACAATAAAGAGGCAACACTCCATAATTCGGATGTCCACAGGACACTTGCCTTTTACTTGCAGCACACAAAGCCATTTTGGAAATCACTGCAGCTGTTTGTTTCATCTGCGGAGGCATCACAAGGGTCACCTATATCAAAACAAAGAATGTCAAAATGGATATCTAGCTGCATCCACCTGCCATATATCGTAGCAGGGAGATAGCTACCACCCTGTATCAGGACCTACTCCATAAGGGCGATGGCAGCATCTACTGCATTCCTTCATGGTGTACCCACGGAATATATCTGCAAGGCCGCCACATGGGCGTCCACACCTTCATTCAGCATTATACAATCCAAACATTTGCAGATGCAGAGATGAGGTATTCTCGGTTACAGACTCTCACCTGACAAAGCTCCTTCCACCATCATAGAATCATAGAATCCTAGGGCTGTAAGAGATCTCAGGAGGTCAAGTCCAGCCCCCTGCCCAAGGCAGGACCAATCCCAACTAAATCAACCACTCCAGGGCTTTGTCAAGCAAAGACTTAAAAACCTCAAGGGATGGAGACTCCACCACCTCCCTAGGTAACCCATTCCAGTGCTTCACCACCCTCCTAGTGAAATAGTTTTTCCTAATATCCAACCTGTGCTCCAGCCCCCTCATCATTTTGGTTACCCTCTTCTGGACCCTCTCCATATCCTTTCTATAGGAGGGGGCCCAGAACTGGATGCAATACTCCAGATGTGGCCTCACCAGAGCTGAATAAAGGAGAATAATTATTTACCTGGATCTCCTTGCAATGCTCCTCCTAACGTAGCCTAATATTCCATTCACCTTCTTAGCTACATGAGTACACTGTTAACTCATATCCAGCTTCACTATGTGACACAAGATGGGAGGAAGGTGGACAGCCCTTGGTGGGGAAAGAACAGGTTAGGAACTATTTAGAAAAGCTAAACGTACACAAATACATGGGTCCAGATTTAATGCATCCGAGGGTACTGAGGGAGTTGATTTCTCTGTCATTCCCACATACTAGGGATACATACCATTACCCAATTCCTAGGGCTCAAGATGCAACCCTGTTAATTTAAACATGCACCCTTACCCAGTTCCTAGAACTCAGGGCGTAACTTCCTGTGGGTCTGCAGGATTTTTTACCACTGAAAGAGCCTTACACAATTAGGGTATGTCTACACTACAAAGTTAATTCGAACTAACGGATGTTAGTTCGAATTAACTTTGATAGGCGCTACACTAGCGCTCCACTAGTTCGAACTTAATTTGAACTAGCAGAGCGCTTAGTTCGAACTAGGTAAACCTCATTGTACGAGGACTAAGCCTAGTTCGAACTTACTAGTTCGAATTAAGGGGTGTGTAGCCCCTTAATTCGAACTAGTGGGAGGCTAGCCCTCCCCAGCTTTCCCTGGTGGCCACTCTGGCCAACACCAGGGAAACTCTACTGCCCCCCTCCCGGCCCCGGACCTCTTAAAGGGGCACGGGCTGGCTACGGTGCCCGTGCCAGTTGCAAGCCTGCCAGCACCCAGCTAGCAGACCCTGCACCTGGCACGGCTCGAGCCAGCCACACGAGGGCACCCCGGCGCCCACACCTTCATGGGAC